ATATGATAAAAATGTTTGGTAAAGTTAGTTGATAAGTTAGCTTGATTAAAAAATCAACTAGCTTATTTGAAAAGCTACGTAAAAAAGCTTATCAATTAAGTTCGAGCTTTTTAAATAAGTTCGTCCTACCAAACGGAGTTTATTTAAATACACGAAGCTTATAAGCCAATCAAATAAACTACAAGCTAGCTTATTGGTCTACCAAACATAGCATTAACAAATTCGTATTTCAATTTTGAAATTAAAAAAAAAAAAAAAAATTAGACACGTACGTAAGTGTGGGGTTATGTGCATGGGAAATAGAAAACAACTAAATACATAAATATGTAAACAAATAAATAAAAGCAACTCTTTTTAATTAATCTTAGGAATATATTACTTGTTTTTGTCTTTGGAGGATCAATTTAAAGGTCACATACTACTCGCACTCTTCACACTATTTGTGAGTGTTCTTAAGGCATTTTTCTATTTTTTTAAAACAGATTATATATAGATGTATGTTCTTTAGCAATCAATGGGGGATGCACAGGGCAATATAAAATAAAAAAATGCTCAAATTTTTTATGTCGTGCTTATTAATACGAATTTACTTTCTGCAAGAAATTTGTCCATTCACATTTTTTTTTTTCTCATTTTTTGGAGTTGTTTCGGTCGTGCTTGTTTATCATCAAATTTCTAGAAAAAAAAAATCTATCTCAATTCAAAATATGTACTCGACTTTTACTCAACCCAACAATATATCCTCAATATTATAAAAATAACTAATAATATCATTCAACTATTCTTACACATTACATCAACTTTAATTCACTATATTCACTCACATAATTTTAACTAATTATCACTTTCCAATAATATATTTCCTACTTTTACATCAAATCAATTTAAATCATTTTATTTTAAATTTTATTTTAATAAATTTTTAAATCTTCACTAACAACTAATCATATCTAGTTAACACACACACACACACACAAAAAAATATTTTTTCTAGTTTTTTTATAAACAAGCACGACCTTACTTGCCGTAACTAAATTCATAGCATTGACAATATTTTGATTATCTCTTTATAATTCTAGTGATAACTCATTTGCTAAGTCTAAAATTTGTCTCATTACAAGAAGACAAAATATAAAATCAAAGCATTGTACCTGCAGAAGAAACAAATTACATTTGTTCTCTTTGATCAGCAATAGCCCCATCCTCAATTATCATTTCAATAAATTTTATTATAAAATAGAACATAGAAATAATGTTCGACTTCGTTCTATATAGACTACTAAAAAATACATAAAATTGTTTTTGTTATGTCTAGCAAGTTCTCAAACTTTGCCTTTTATTCTTAAATATTTATTTGAAAATTATAACTACATACGTTTAGCAGCAAAAAACCGCCCAGACTGGCTCAAGTGTCAATCTGCCTGTTAGCAATTATTTGTTTTGTCTTGATTATTCCATCAATTATTGTTTAATTCACAAATGTTTGTTTTAGTAAATATCGGTAAAGTTTTCGACAGATCATATCCAGAGGAACAATTTTTCTCTTTAGTAATGATCGTTTGTTTTGCAGGACTGAAGACGATAAGACTGGATTGTGCAGGATTACAACCAATTTCTATGGTGAAGGGTGAACAACAAAGAAAATTTATGGTTACTTCATTTTATGAATTAGAATATTCACTTGTGAATATTCTAATGGATTATTCATCTTTCCACTAATTGATTTTAAGATAGAATCTTATTTGGGCTTCATATAGGTTTTCCCTGCTTATGGTGTGCTTCACGTGTGTAGGACCGCACCCGTTTTTCACCGATTTCTTACATTATGTATCTGAATGTTCAAACTTTGCAGATTATAAAATTGTTATTGAAAAGTGATAAATAAAAATAGTTTTATATATGTTCCAAAAATTACCCCATTAAACAACAAGTACATGTACTCAATAGTTGAAAAAATGGATAATAGAAAATTGACATTTGAGTGTATATATAAACATATCTTAAGGTTCTGAATTATAATAAATAAATATATATGTTGCTCTTTACTTGTAGTTGTCTGATAGCAACAATATTGTCAAATATTTTAAGGAGCCATTGTTGTATGTTTTTTCCCTGGTGAAAACTCATACCCAGATATCAATATGAGAAAATAAAATAAAAAAAATAAATCAAAAAAAAAAAAAACATTTTACTTCCCTCAAGTCAAATATAATATTATATTATAAGCCCCTAAACAACCTGTATCTATGTGATTGTGATAACATTACAAATTTCACAAGAATATTCTAAAAAAAAAATATCAACAAAAGCCACTGTCAAAACAGCTTTCATATGTAAATAGACAGAATAAATGCTACACATTATTATAGAAGATAATCCTCATAAAAAAATGTGATATCAAACTCGTGTGGCATGAAATCTTCACTCGAAAAGTAAGTCGATTTTCTTTTAAAAAGTCTCATTTGATGCGCGAATCGGGAGCTTCTGGTAACCCGTCTTCATCACCTGTCTCCATACCTTGTGGAACTCAAAATTTACACATTTTTTCAAAGGAAGTTACAATAACAATGATGATACTAAAATATAATAAAAGAAGAACTATAGGTCATATGATTAAATAATCACCGTGAACAAGTCGGATAACCTACTAAACGAAGAGTCAGCCGCACCAACTCCTTCTGAGACCGACACAATAACAAACTGTATACAACTTCGTTAAAAAAAATAAAAAAAGTTATCATCTCTTTAACAATATGAAAGTTACGATAAAACGACAATGTGGATTCAGCGAAATTAACTGATGATTATCGATTGCTTTAACGTTGGACTTACAATTTAGTTCTGCCCATATTGCAAGTAGCCAAAAAAATAAATAGTGGTGAAATTCATTTATAACTAGCATTATGTATCAGAACAGAGGCCAGGCGGTTCACGAACTCAATATATCATTCAAATTCTGTACAAGGTTAGTAGTGTTATTGCATAACTTATTAAGATTAATTTTAAGCTAAGCTAGTAATTTGAATTTTGCCTAACATTTCCAATGTGGCAAATTCCATCTTAATTTTCTCATCCCTTTTACATATATATATATTTTTTAATATATGTGTATGTTCTTATATATTATGTAAAGTTATAAACACAGCAATCTATATAGTCTGCTCGTGTCTGATTCTTCCTTCTAAAGTTCTAATAGGTTAAATACATTCACAAGCGGGGATGTAGCTCAAATGGTAGAGCGCTCGCTTTGCATGCGAGAGGCACGGGGTTCGATCCCCCGCATCTCCAGTTTTTTTTTCTTCTTCAACTTTTTATTTCCCTTTCAATGGATTATCGCCATCATCTTCACCGTTTTTAATTCACACAGCCACCATGCCACCGCCGATCGTCGCCTCCCTTGTCTCCTCCTCCGCTCCCCCCTCCACCACTTCTTCGCCGTCGCCAACACCCCCACAGTGCTCGCCGCACCATTATCCCGCCAAACTCGACACAGTCTCCCGCCGCGACGCAGCAATTCTCCTCTCGTCGGCCGTCGTCATTCCTTTCCTCCAGCCACCGCTCGCATCGGCGTTGTCAATCGGAATCTGTACTGGCTTTCATCTCATCTGTCCACCTGTTTTCCAACTCTTTTTTCAGTTGATTATTCCTGTTTTGTTTCTCCCCCATTTTCGCAATTGATTAGCAGGACCAAAGGAATGGCTGAAAGAGCAGAAGAAGAAGTCCGCCGGATTCCTCTTAGCTCCGGTCGACGCCTCTCGCAATATCCTTCAATCAGCCTACCTTTTACTGAGTAATAAATTTTTATTCTACTTAATTGTTTCTCCTTTTTCTGCTTAATTTGGTGAGCACAATGAAAAACAATGTGAAAGTGAATGTGCACTCAACCTGTTTGTGTTTAACACTGTGAAAGACAAATCGGAATTTGGTGAGAATGACATGGAAGTACTGCGGAAGCTTCTGGTGTCTGCCGCCAGAGATTGCGTTCCTCAGGACCGGAATTCGTTCGTCGAGTTCCAAGCCAACACTGGAGTTGAGGTAGAAAAATTGCTATTTCTAGTGCTTCAGCTTCTTAGCTTATCCAAATAGAAATTGTTTTGGAGCTTGCAGAACAAAATGAGGTTGTTTGAATGCCTTCATTATCCATTATCCTTGTCTATTTAACATTTTTATCTGGGTTTACGATAGATTTGAACTCTTCATTATGTTATGATTTTGATTAGTTTCATGGTGCTTCAGCCTGAAAGAGAGTAATAAATTTTCTTCATTATGGTGGGTTTATGATAGATTTGGACCCTTCATTATGTTCTGCTTTTGATTAGTTTCATCTTATACTGCATTTGAATCAAAGTCTATATAGTGAAAGCAAACTTAGTAAAGAAGTGGATGCGTTGAGGTTCAATGGAGAAATTACTATCCATCGACTTTATTTGCTGTGTAATGGATTCAGAGTGTACTATTTTATAGGTCTGCACATTCCGGCTGATTGTGAAAAATGCTTCGTCTTTGCTTGCTGATAGAGATCCAATCAAATCCGAAGCTGAATCCAAGCTCAATGATCTCATCAGGTATATCTCCTTTGCCCCGGTTCAATTAATGGGTCTGGTTTGGATTGCTGCTGTCCGAAACTCTGAACCATGTTAACCGGGCTTCAGCATTTCCCTTTTGCTAATGTATTCCTTGCTTGCTGCAGATCATTTTCTTCTCTTAATGGCATGGCAAGGGAAAACGGTACTCAGCTCGCTTCAAATAGGTATAAAATGAGTGGGACGTGATAATGTGCAAAGTGTTCGGAATTGAAGTTTATCATATATATTGCAGGCAAAAAATTGCGGATGCCATTAAAGATACAGTATCTTCGCTCAACGACTTTGAGCAGGGCATCAAAGATTGTCTTCAAGTCTGATTTATTACTTTGACTTGATGTCTTTCGAGCTGCTGTAAACAAATGAACCTTTAAGTTATAAGGTTCCATCTTTGTAATCATTTTCACCAGCATTGTTCTGTACCACCATTCTTGTGCCCTTTCTGTTTAGAGGTTAAACATGTCAAATTACCTTAGGCATTTATGTATCGCTTGGGACGGTCTCAAGCTAGACAAATTTTTTTCGATTTTTTTTTTTTACATTCAGTCGTGCCCGTTTCGTACAACTGCCCTTATATACCCTTCCATGGACATCACTTTTACCATGTATTATTTGTTTTGTAAATCTCAAGTTTGGAGTGACTCTAATTTTGTGTCTATTTGAAGCAGAAAAGAATTGTCTTAAATCTGTAGCAAAATAATTGAAAAATGTATGTTTAACCTAGCAGAAGAAAGGTTCAACTTCAGCTCTC